CTCTGGTGGTAAGAAGTGTAATACAGATACTAGCACTCTGGTGGTAAGAAGTGTAATAAAGATACTAGCACTCTGGTGGTAAGAAGTGTAATACAGATACTAGCGCCTCTGGTGGTAAAAAGTGTAATACAGATACTAGCCCCTCTGGTGGTAAAAAGTGTAATACAGATACTAGAACTCTGGTGGTAAGAAGTGTAATACAGATACTAGCGCCTCTGGTGGTAAGAAGTGTAATACAGATACTAGCGCCTCTGGTGGTAAAAAGTGTAATAGAGATACTAGAACTCTGGTGGTAAGAAGTGTAATAAAGATACTAGCCCCTCTGGTGGTAAGAAGTATAATACAGATACTAGCCCCTCTGGTGGTAAGAAGTGTAATACAGATACTAGCACTCTGGTGGTAAGAAGTGTAATACAGATACAAGCGCCTCTGGTGGTAAGAAGTGTAATAAAGATACTAGCACCTCTGGTGGTAAAAAGTGTAAAAGATACTAGCCCCTCTGGTGGTAAGAAGTGTAATACAGATACTAGCGCCTCTGGTGGTAAAAAGTATAATACAGATACTAGCCCCTCTGGTGGTAAGAAGTATAATACAGATACTAGCACTCTGGTGGTAAGAAGTATAATACAGATACTAGCGCCTCTGGTGGTAAAAAGTATAAAAAGTATAATACAGATACTAGCCCCTCTGGTGGTAAGAAGTATAATACAGATACTAGCCCCTTTGGTGGTAAGAAGTGTAATACAGATACTAGCGCCTCTGGTTGTAAGAAGTGTAATACAGATACTAGCGCCTCTGGTGGTAAGAAGTGTAATACAGATACTAGCACCTCTGGTGGTAAGAAGTGTAATACAGATACTAGCACTCTGGTGGTAAGAACTGTAATACAGATACTAGCACCTCTGGTGGTAAAAAGTGTAATACAGATACCAGCCCCTCTGGTGGTGAGAAGTGTAATACAGATACTAGCACTCTGGTGGTAAGAAGTGTAATAAAGATACTAGCCCCTCTGGTGGTAAGAAGTGTAATACAGATACTAGCGCTTCTGGTGGTAAAAAGTGTAATAAAGATACTAGTGCCTCTGGTGGTAAGAAGTGTAATACAGTACTAGCGCCTCTGGTGGTAAAAAGTGTAATTCAGATGCTAGCGCCTCTGGTGGTAAGAAGTGTAATACAAACTTAACTAAGGTAAATTATTTTGCACTAAAATTATTCTTCGCTGGCCTCATACTCTTTAACCTCTTATCCACACTCAACAGCACTTCCAATATCCTCGCCTCCTCTTTTCCCTTGACCCCCCCGCCCCTCCCATTGATCTTCAGTAACTCCTTTCTAATTTACTTGGCCCAATAAAAAAAATATTAAAAGTTTGTTTTGAATTAGTAATGCGCAGAATATATGGCGCACAGAGGCCAGTGGGTTATTTCAGGGGATTATTGGAGGCTGATGGACTAGTTCTTCTTAAATCACGCATACCATGATGAGAATACCATGATGAGAATACCATGATGAGAATACCATGATGAGAATACCATGATTAGAATACCATGATGAGAATACCATGATGAGAATACCATGATGAGAATACCATGATGAGAATACCATGATAAGAATAGACAAATAAATGTTTTCTGATTTTTCAATAATACTATAATTAATATAAAAGATAATAATAATAATCATAATAATACTAATGATAATAACAGCAATAATAATAATGATGATAATGTTAATAATCAATAATGTAAAAAAAATATGTTAAATGTAAAAAAATATTTACCTATAGTAAAGAACCACATAGTTAACTCATCAATAATCTTTAGAGCTAAAATACCCTAAAAAATTGTTAAAATTAAAAATAGAATTTAAAAATCAAAGAATCTATATTAATACCAATACAAATTAAATGAAAATGTATACTAAACTATCAATTAATCACTAATGCCATTAAAAGTCTAATAAAAACTTCTTCATTACGCACCTCTGCCCCTTTAATAAAAGTAAATTCAACCTATATGAAGCATAAAGTCTGACCGTGTCAACCTTGTTGCATCGGCTAGTCCTGTTGATTGTCTTCATTATTAACCCAATGTCCGTGCGGTGCATTACAAACTAAGATCGGAAAGGTTGACCCGGATCGGAAATTCAAATGTACCACGGCTGCCCATGTTTTTAGACTGTAAGTGTAGTTAGAAGAGACCCTCCCTGCAAAGATGACAATTTCCCGTTCGCAACCATTTAGATCTTTATCTTATTCACAGTGTGACAGTGATGTAGTCTTTTTTTTAAGGACAAGTTACTTTTTGAGAGAAACAGCAATTGTAAATAATCTGTTTTCAAAATTACAAACATAAATATCTAAGTCCTATTAGACCAGACAAAGCTTTTAAATGTATCGTTGTGGATTTAAGCAGAATCGTTTATGGAACGTTTAAGATATACTTTTCATTCATCTGTAGTTGTGATTGAATTTTTTTTGGGTTTCTCTGTAAAAGAAAATTGCGGATATAATTTACTCAGATAACGATTTAAATGGTACCATTGTGAATTTTTCTATAAATGGAGCCTTATTTGAAAAAACTTTAAACTAAAGTATTCATTTTCCAAAACAAATTAAAGATATAAAACTTACATGTTCCCATCTGACAACAGGTATAAAGGTGGAGTTTTCATCGCTCTAAAAAAAAATTTATTTAATTTTTAAAATCTTTTTTTATTTAAAAAAAAATTACCTCAGTGTCATTGTCAAACAGCATGATATCTAAACCAAAATTATTCATAATTTTCAGTTTGATACATAGATGAATAATAATAATTAATGATAATAGTGAAAATAAATTATCATAAATAAGGTTAATAGATAATAATAATTATTAAACCATTATAAATAATTATGATAGTGAATAAAGAAACATAAACAAAATTATAAGTATATTAATAATATTTCAACATTAATTATAAATTTTATTTTTTAAATAATGGTGATAATAAATATGAAATAAATGATGATTGAAATTGAATTGTCGTAAACTAAAAAAAAATAATTTAAAGATAATTATAGTGAAAATGAAAATAATATTAATAAATAATAGTAGATAATAATAGCAAAAATAATAAATCATTAATTAGTAATTATATAATCATGATTAATAACAATATTAATTAGATAATTTTAGTTCCTAAGTCATCAGTTAGTTCCGGCATTGTTGACAGAACGAAGGTTACAGTGGATACAATTACTACAGACATTGATGTGAATGCTGTAATCTAGACAATCAATTAATTAATCAATCAATCAATTAATTAATCAATCAATCAATCCATTTATCCATTAAGCTCCATTGTAGTTAATAGAACAAAGGTTACAGTGGATACAATTACTGTGGACATCGATGTGAATGCTGTAACCTAGGCAATCAATCAATTAATCAATCAATCAATCAATCCATTAATCCATTAAGCTCCATTGTAGTTAATAGACAAATGTTTAAGTGGATACAATTACTACAGACATTGATAGGAATTTTGTAATCTAGACAATCAATCAATTAATCAATCAATAAACAATCAATTGATCAATCAATAAACAATCAAGTAATCAATCAAGTAATCAATCTGGCTCCAGCATACTTGATAGAACAAAGGTTACAGTGGATGCAATTACTACAGTCATGGAACCAAAACTGTAATCAAGGCTATCAATCAATTAATCAAACAATCAACCAATAAATCAATCAATTAATCCATTAAGCTCCATTGTAGTTGATAGAATAAATGTTACAGTGGATACAGTTACTACAGACATTAATGTGACTGCTGTAATCTAGGGAATCATTCAACTAATCAATCAATAAATCAATCAATTAATCAATCAATCAATCAATCAAATAATCAAATTGTGCGCAATTCCATGCAACAGAATCCAGATTGGAAAACCTAGTCTCTGGTCCCAAATTCCCCGTTTTTTCGGGACCCAATATGATGACATTTTTACCAAGACTCAACTCAAAAAGACATAAAAATCATACCCTGGCTGCAAGGGAAGTTTCTGGGTATTCCGTTAGATTCCACAATTTCTTCCTGTTTAATATCACAATCATCAGAGAAATAGATATTGACAATTTTTAATATTACATAAAATCTCATTTTAATTATCTAAATGAATTCTTACATAACTGACTTTTATATTTGTAAATTATCATGTATAATTGGTTTGACTGTTTGCTGTCCTCTCATTGGTCGAACTAAAGCTTTCTAGTCTGTGATTGGTCCAACCTCAAAATTTTGACCAATGAGAGACAGCTTAACAATTTAACCTCCATTTGAGAATGACTTTAACTAATATATAGTGGGATTTACTGATTCCCACCGCCTAAACTTGTTTAGTTTATTTAATTTCAGTATATGCCAAACATTGCTAAACAAATCCTTTTATCT